TATTATCGTCAATACTTCTATTTGATCCAATAAACTAAGTCACCACGTCAAATTCAACAGTGTTTGGAACAAGCATTCTAAACCGAATCCAAGCCGAATCTATCAGATCGTAATCAAACAGAACGATCAACTCTCCTCTTCAAGAAACCCAATTCTGTAACACAAATCAACCCAAGTTTTAATCCAATAACCAAGAAACCTTCACCAACTGATTCCATTGTGTCACATAGCCACAAAGCTCTCCCAATTCAAATCAAACCAATAACTCTCCTCAAACCATGCTAACATCCACAACACCACTAAAGAAATAGTAATTCTAATTAATTATATTTCTACTTAAGACATTCATCAGGAAAAAATCGATCATGAACTGAAAGATCATAAACTACGACATGCAAATATTGTTGAGAGGAATGTTCTTCCAAAACCAAAGGGTAATTTTTTTTTCTCGGTATGAGATTGTAAATTTGTAAGTTTCAAAATACAGGATATATTTTTTGTTTTAAATTCATCTATATGATATTATATGAATTTAGCACACACCACGATGATGTGATTTGGTGATCAGTGAGATGATGATCTTTTTTTTTTGATATTTTTTTATTTTCCACAAAAAGTTATTCAGCAAATAACAGGGATATGAGAGGAGATTTTTGAGCTTATATAATTTTCCTGATAATTTCTATGGGAATTTTAATATGACTTCTCGATTCAATTTTAGATATGTATCGAGAAAACGTGGATGAAAATTTGAAAGGAGAAATAAAGGCATACAATACGAGTAAACTGCGTCATGCTAAAATTGTTGAGAAAAATATACTGCCAACGTCTGTTGGTAACTTATATATTTCATAATTTTGAAGTGCTGTTTAGTGAAATCTGAAGCAAATCATGTTAATTCACTGTTTTAAAATTAAAATTCAGATTTATTCAAATTGAAGAAATATTTATCAGATAAAGAATTTTGAAAATAAAAAAAGCTACAGTGATTCTTTTCTTGATATTCTTTATTGGAATTTCACTTTTAAAGTATAATATTGGAAATATCATTAGCTTTTCTTAATTCACTCAAGCAATTGTTTCAGATATAGCTCGTGAAAAAGTACCTGCGCTAATCGTAAATTTCGATACAGAAAAGCTCAAACACGTGGATCCGATTGTAAAAATAGCATTTCCATCTGCTGATGGTTAGAATATTTCGTGAGAGAATGCCATAAATTGTAAACAGAAATAGCGAATGCACTTGTAAATAATAATAGAATTCGTAAATAGTAAATTTTTTTTTTTAGAAAATATTCATTTTAATTTCAACGATTAACGATTAACTTTATATCGTCGCTTTTATACCACAAGTGAAAAATGAGTGCTAAGAAAAATTCGAATTATTTTGAAGTTTGTCCGAAGTTCAAGTATTAATTGAAATATTCAGTCTGTAACATTGTGAGAAAATATAACTGCAATTAAAAAATGCAGTATTGTAGCTTTCTGAAAAGTACCAAAAGTAAAAATGATATTTTCAATTTCAATTTTAGATGTTATTCGAGAGCAAGAGGAATTGAAAACCGGAACAAATGATTGAAGCTGGATGAAGCATAGCTAACGGTTGTTCAGGAAAATTTAAAAACATTTCGCATAAAAGCCTTTTAGTATTTATGTCTCAGATTTTAATGCGATGTTTTATTTCACTTTCACAAAAGTTCCTTCCTTCTTTTCTGTTCTCACCTTTCTATGTATCGATGCGTGTGTGTGTGTGTGTGTGTGTGTGTGTGTGTGTGTGTGTGTGTGTGTGTGTGTGTGTGTGTGTGTGTGTTAGCATGATTTTTTACATTTATTTTTCCACTTTAATTGAATAAATTATCATAAATACTTCAATTTGTTTATCTTTTGCAGAACTCACAAATTAACCATTTTATTTAATAAGCAGTTATTTTGCTATATTGAAAAAAAAATTTAAAATACTGATCAGGAAAGCATTCCCGAATCGTATGATCAACTCAATCACAATTATCATTATTAATTGTAAAACATATTAAGAGATTTAATATGGAAGAAAAATTACTGAGCAAAAAAAACTGGGCATAAAACAAGAATGACATAATTTTGAGGAATAAAATTTCATCAAATTTTTTGTTTACTTTCGTTTAAAAATTCGAAAAATGAACAGTGAACATGCAATTTCTCAAAAAAATTCATTTACATTTCATTTTTCTTTTTCGACAGAGACAATTTCTCTTCCTTTCCATTCTTTCTCCATCGGAAAAGATGAAAAGACAGGTGATGAATTTCATTTCATATCCTTCCCTCACTCTTTCTACAATTATCGCTTTAAGTTCATTTACAAAATAATCAACAATCATTTCGTTGCTTTTTTTTCCATTTGTGTAAAAGAAAAAAAAAATGATTAAATTTCACTTTTCCCATCTTCCAGTCAAGCATATTATCAACTTTTCAAAAGGGATTAAAGTTTTCTTTCCCAAATAACTTACCATTTTTAAGTAAAATGCAAAGAAGGCATGCATGATAGAACTTTATGATGCAATTTATTTTTATTTTTTTTTGCTCGAATAAATATAAATATAATAAAGGAAACAAATTTAAATAATTGAATAATGACAACAATAGCAATTTGCCTAAAGGCGCTTATTTAAATATTTTATCACATTATCAATATTGGCATACAAAATATTTCCTCATTTTCCATCATTAAAATATATTTAATGAAATTATCATCAATCTATCAGTTATAATTATCGATATCTAAAATACACCTATGAAACTAAACGATTTCGAAGGATATGCGGTAAATGATGAGAAATGCGCCAAAATATTCAAAAGAAAATATACATATAAACTCTAATAAATATTCGGCAAAAAATGAACAAAAAAAAACCAATTTTCAAGCTGAGGCAGGCAATTTCTTTAATGAAATTGGAAATTAAAAATATACACAAATGAAGAAATAATTTTTTTTTTAAAAAAAAAGGAAAAAAAAAATTAATCGACGAGGTAAATAACACATGAGAAATTTTACTGAAACTAATAATTATAGAATTTATTCACATTCCGATTCATTTATTTTCAACATTCATTGCAATATTGCCTACCTAAAAATTCATCCTCTGCGCAAATATTTCAAATTTCATCAATTTATTTCATTTTCCATTTATAATCAAAAAAAAAATGATTAAAGAACAAAAGATCAAGTGTAATAAACCAAAGAAAAAAAAAAAGAATTGGATTAACTCAATCTTTAATGGGCAATAAGAAAGTCAAGCTAAAAAAAATAGCCAGCAAATGTGAAATTAAAAAAAAAAAAATAATGATAACAATATTCAAGCACCTTGAAAGAATAAAGACCCTTTAACAAGGAGAGGGGGAGGGAGAGAAGAAGAGATTGAAAGAGAATGAGAGAGAATGAGAGAGAGAGAAATAATTACAAAAATTTTGGAGACAAATAATATGCAAAAATTACAGCAATGACAATAAAACATTTTTGCAAAATTTTGGTTTGTTTCCTGAGTTCGAGTTTAGCTCTTACAAACTTCCTTACTGTATCGATCGTTCCAAGTAACTGGTCTGTCCTCTATCTTCCCTTCATTCTTATCATTCTTATCACTTTTAGAGTCAACAATATCATGTTTCATCGATGCTCTTACGAAATCGTGATTTTAGTAGCAAATAATTATCATCACCGATTGGTACTTCCCGTGTTCCTTTACCGTAGCGAATCTAAAAATATATCAAAAGTTTTATATAATCTTAAAAGAAAAAAGTTTTATCTAATTTCAATTGAATTTATTAAGTCTATTTCTAAACAATTTTTATCATTTTTCAGCAATTCGATTTTAAAAAAGAAAAAAATAAAGACAAAACATTTTATCTTTATTTTTTTCTCCACTCAAAATTTTTCTTAATAGAAAAGGTTGAAATGAAACACTGTGAAAGCAAAAAAAAAAAAAAGAAAATAATAAGAAATAAATGGAAAATCTTACTTGTTTGATAAAACGATTTACAATTTCATCATGTGATTTCTCGATTAATATAGTACTATGCAAAATTTCTTGAAGACTATTGTAAAAGAGTTGTTTTGCTTGTTCCGGATTTTCATTATTTTTCAACTGAAAATAATTGGATGATATATGGTGAAATGTGAAAGGAATGATAGTGATAGAGTAGATGATACGATGATGAGTGAGCAACCTGATCCTGTAATGCAATTGGTATGCAAGGATGTCCAATCGGAATATCCGTTCCTTCCAGTATATTCTTCCATTCTTTTAATGTTTCCGCATTTTCATAAAGTATTGCATGAATTGCTTCTAATTCTCGTTCAGTATCTATTTCGAATGCATCGTTTGATTCGCTCGTACGTAACGCAATCATAAGTTGTCGCTTGCGTTGCTTCTGAATTTGTACTATCCTAAAATTTAAAATTAAAATTTGCAGTGGAAATTTATTCAACAAATCTATTCTGTTCATTAATTTAAGCATAAATTTTTTTTTTCAAATTAAAATAGAAGAAACAAAGGACAAAACATCTAACCATTCATTCATTTCAACAGTGCTCGGTGCCTGAAATTGAATTTCACAATCCGGTGATGCTATCCTGAAAACATTTTTTGCATCGACGACCGGTTCTATTTGATTCACTTCTTGCAATCTCATTCGGCCTTTCGGTTCTGCATCTGCTAAAACAATTTCATTTTACAGAAATATTTTCAGTAAATATGAAATACAGAAAGGATTCATGCAAAAACGGATATTACTACTAAAACAGATATAATTTTAAATTTTAACAAATTTGAACAAAAGGGAACCTTTTGTTTTTTGCCAACAAATCTCATTTTCTGTTAGCACAACATATCGTCGCTTTTGATTTACTAAATTTCTCAATATTCGACGCTTTTCTCGAACTCTTCTTTCGATAAAAAATCTGTAAATCAATTAGCATTTAAGCTTTCCTCTCAAAACATTACGATTACTATTACGTCAATCATTTTCACTGTAAAACTGACAATCGATTAATGCTATACTTTTGTTAGTAAGTGATAGTACGTGATAGAAATATTCTGAGGTGTTTTCATCAATAGATGATAATGTGGAATATTTTATTTCAGGAAAGAACAATGAATCGATTGATTTGTCATATTAGATCACTCGAGTTAAGCACTTTGCAAGAGTTTAAAATTAAAAATCTATCGGATAAAAAATTTTACCCGTCCCGAACAACCGAGAGATTTTCATAATTTACATCTGTGGCATTCTCTGTCATTGATATTGTATTAAGAAACTTTAACATTGCAAGCCGATGTTGTTCATCTGTGAATCTAAAAATTCCGCTTAAATCTTGAATATAACAATCAATGTACAATTACAACGAAATGCTTAAAATTTCTTTGATAAATTGAAAATTAAACCTTTCAAGAACTGATGAAAGCCATGGCTCTTTTTCAGTAAGTGAATTCGCAAAAACAACACAATTCGAGAGTCGTTGAAGTATTTTTGACAGAAGTACCAATGTACGGCAAACAACACCTTCCTAAAGCAATAATCATGAAATTTTAAGATTAAATGATAAATTAGATGATTAGATGATAATTAGATGATTGAAGAGGGTTGAAGTTCTCAATGATTCTAAAAACTTCAACCAAAACATGTGCTAATTTCGAGTGAGGCGAAAAAATCAAAAAATTCATTGAAAGAACATATAATAATAAATGGATCTCAAGTTTTTATATTATGAAAATTGCAGCAAATATTTGAAAAAAAGATGGAAAAAATAAAAATGAAGTATCAAAAAAAATTTAACAAATTCTTCGGAAAAGAAAAGAAACTAACTGGTTGATCACGTTTAAGTCCAAATGATTTCGGATTCATCAAAGCAGCCGCAAAGAAACGCATAATAATGAATGAACTAAGCACCAATCGTTGAATATCTTCTCGACTCGGAAAATGTTGCGCTGCAAGTTCACGTAAATCGGAAAACATTTCACGTAGCATTAATGGACAACGATGACTTGAATCGACCACTCGTGAAAATGTTATCTCACCATACACTATTAGATTTAGCTGAAAAATTTAGAATTAATTGAAATTTTCAAAATATAACAATTCTTATTGCTCAGCTAAATTCTATTGGGATAAAAGTGAAACATTAAAAATTTCCAATTACTGTTTAAATTTGGAATGAAATGAATAAGTATGAAATGTCTGGAAGAAATTTTTCATTCCACATAACAACTAGCATACTTTTCTTAAACTTTGCCTATTTAAAATTTAAAATGTTGACCTTATTCGATCCCAAACTATCGCCTTGTTTTAACTTCATCGGATCAATCTCGCAACATTTACGCTCACAATAAATCTACAACGAGAAATTATGAAGTTAATAACGAATGATGTTTTTAATAGTTTGTAATGTGTTGTGATCTTGAAAAATGATATTTCATAATTTTTTTCAAGCAGAAAGGAATTAAATGAAATAATTGCATGAAAAGTTAAGTTAAAGCTAAGTGACGAGGCGTGATAACTTTCATTAGATTTCATATGACTTCAGTTTAACTTACCATGTCGATAACAGGTTTAATTGAGATCACAAGATAATGATGCCCAAAAAACTTCATTTGTTCATGAATTATCTTTGTTGCTAATGACTGACTCCGAAATAAAGTATTTACGTCCCTGAAAGATATTTCATTTCAATTATTTAATATGAATTATTGCTTCCTCCTAAATAATTTAACTTTAAAATGCATAGTAACGAAAGGATGAAAAGATTAGTCAGCTGACTAATTTAGTCTTAAATGCTTCCAGTCTCGATCATGAAGAACAATCTCCACCGATAGAGGAACATGAAAATTATTTGTTAAATGCAAACTTCAAATCAATGCACTTTTAAAAATCAGTAATTGAGAGGAAGCAATTGCTTATTCAAATTTCCTTATTTTTCTGACTTTCTTTTTTGTTTTTAATTCGACATTTGCTGTCGCAATTGAATATTCAAAAAAAAAAAGTTACCGGAAAAATGAAAAAAGAAAAAAAAGTAAGTTTTTAATTCAAAAAAGAAAAAACAATTAAAATAAATATGAACATACTGGCATTTTAAAATATCATCGGCGCAAAGAATCCTCAATAATGGACGTATTAATTCAGCTTGCACGAAAATTTTCATTAATGATCTTGCAATCGCCAATAAATCTACCTAAAATATCAAGTTTAAATTTTTATAAAATATTTGATATATAAAGATGGATAATTTAAATTTAATTATTAGTTGAATTAGTTCATATATTTATTTATTATAATTATCGAATTAAAATTATATATTAACTTATTAATAATTATTTGTTAATTTCTTTAAAAAGCAAAAATTTATTAACTTGCTACTCCCACTCTTTTTCTTTAATTGTTCTTACCGATGGCAAATATTCGAGAATTCCAACTGGCGATGCGCAAAATGGTTGTAACGTTAATGATTTTACAAGATTCATCTGTAGTGGCTTATAAAATTCCACTGGTAGCACGTGTTCCGCTGTATAAAAGAGTCGTAAGCGTAATTCGCCAAGCTGCTGATAACCATTTAACGAATTTTGATTATCACTGGATAAAATATCACCTGTAGTACCACCATTAATTCCATCATCACTATCATCACCAGTCATTCGTGGTTTCAGATAATACCTATAAAAATGGTAAATGAAAAATGTGAAATAAATGTTAACTGAGTGATAAGAATTAAACCAAAGCCAATTCGTTTTTTTTTTTTTAACAATTTCTTTTTGATATTTTACCGCTTCAAATTTGTTAGAAAATGATGAAAATACTGTAAGATTGAATTGTGTTTGAAATTAATCAAAAATTCTACTAAAAAGACAAGGTTGTTTTATAACATTTGAAAATCATGTGTAACATTTCAATCTTAGAAATTATGATTGAAATTTTTTTGATTTTCATTAAATACACAAAGCAGTGTTATTGTGATTGAAGTGCATTCTAAACACTATTGAGAACGGATTGAGTTTGTAAATCATTTTATAGTATAATTTTGAATTTAAGTTAGAGATTATGAAAGTGACATATGTCATATGCAAAAAAAAAAAGAAATTGTACTTCAAATGAATTTAAAATTATTTCAATAACATTTGTAATGTTTTCGATTGCAGGTTTTTAAAACACATTTAATCGACTTTAAAACAACATCCTCATCCATATAAAAACAAATGATCGAATGAAATAAAAATAGAAAAAAATTTTTCAATTTTTTGAAAAGTTCAAACAAATGAATGAAATTAAAAAAATGATTTAAAAAAAAGTTCACCTTTGATCAATAAATATCTGTCACGATAAAACGTTATCACATTAACAAACTTTTCTCCATTTCATATTGTTTATTGATAAAAAGTAAGAATGAGTGAAAATATGATAAAATTAAAGCATAAAATTATCTCTCAGATCGTAATCTCATGAGCAAAAACGAAATAAAAATAAAATGATATTTGATTGAAAATGAAGAATATAAAAAATTTCAAATGACTAAAAAATTTCATTTTTTAAAAGCTTTTCTAAATTTAATGTACGCCAACCATCAAATGTATTATTATTAATGTTAAATGTAAATGTAAAAGAAAACAAAATTTTCAGATATCATTTTTACGACAAATGAACTGACAATGAAAATCTGTTCTCAAAAAATATTTGTCAATTAAATTATTTGTTGATAACAAATAATCAATTAAACTTATCGTTTATCAACATTTATCAATTAGAGAGCACAAAAATTAAAATTAATACTGCTAGTAATTAATATTACAAACAGTGAAAGATTGTTCATCAATAATTGAAATCCTTGTAGAGGCGGAATTTAAAAAAAAAAAAATTGTTTAGAGAAGAGGAAAATTAGATGGTGGGTGTTTTGCCCTTTTCATTCATCCATTCGTTCATTCATTCATTCATTCAATCATTCATTCATTCACTGATTCGTTCATTCATTCATGCATTTATTCATTTCTATAATTCGAGAACATGAAATGTTAGTAACAATCAGACGACGATTATATCTGCTCGTCATTTTCAATATGCTTCTATTATAGTTGTTAGAACAGAATGCATCATTGATGAGATTTAGTTGTAAAGAGAACGAAGTAAAATTGAAAAGTAATTATAAAATAAGATGAGAAATTTTTTGCAATCATTATAATATTAAAATATCACACTTTAAAATGTATGAAAATAATCAAAAGATTTTTTTGATATGAAATTACAATTTTTTTTTTTTGAAAATTATTAAAAAAAATAATCTCTCATAAACTGTTCTACAAATGTTGCATAAAAGTTTTTCGAAATTTGATTGTGTCTGAATATCATATTATAAATAATATAATTTCTTGACATAGCTTATTTGAATTGTTAACAGTTATCTTCAATTTCAAAATAATGATGGCTGAAGGCTGAGAAAATTTTATCGTTCAAATGATGACTATCATTTTAGCAGTAAATTTAGGAAATTCTAAAAGAATTTGTAGTATAATTATTGGAATACAATTAATTGAGCTTTTTCAAAAAATTACTTTTCCAATAGTATTTCATTTCAAAAAATCAATTACAATTCTTTTTTTATATATATCTGAAAGTTTTTTTTTTTCATGTCTTCCACATGTCTTTGCAATATTTTGATATGAAAATGACACATCATGTTTAAACTTAAAGATCAAATGATATCATTTGTGCTATATGTCATTGAAATCTCGTCAGTCTGATGTTTTTTTTTCCAATGTTTGATCCGGTTTTACGTTATTTTTTTAATTTAAACATCAATTATTTCTGTTTAATGCTGTTATTTTTATTTAGTGAAAGTTGAATTACATTTAAATTAATTACGATATACGCAATAATACTACTAATAATAGTATTATTAGTAGTAGTATTACTAATAAAACAAAACATATTTGAAGTTTCTTTCATTGGAAATATAAAAAAAAAGGCAGTTTGTTGAGCATGCTTGCTATTAGCAATGAAATTGTTAAACGTAAATTGAAAATCAAATAAAATATATTTGAGTTCTTAATAGCTTACTTGTCTTTTTTGTGGAATATGAAATTATTATAACGCTATTTCATGTAAATCTGATGAAAGAAGAAAAAGAAACATGGATGAAAAATTTTGATTAAATCAAAATTTGAAATAATTTAAAATACTCATGCATTTTCAAAAATAAAAAAAAAAATTGAATATTATCAATATTTAAAATGATTGCAACGATACCGGAGAAAAAAAAAAGTCATTAGACTGCACATACCTAATCAAACAGACATTGAATTGAACAAATATCAAACAAAACATCAATCACACTTTTCGAAGCGGGAACAAAACAATTCATCAAATCGAATTATTCATGTCAAAATAAATATCAAATAGGAGAAACTAACGTATGTATGTGTGTGTGTGTGTGTGTGTGTGTGTGTGT